TTTGCAGTGCCGTTGGCTCGATTTAATATAAGGATATCAAATCTAATATGGCGTATCCATTAATAGTTAAAATTATCTGTATAGATAAATAGGTACGTGTAGCATTAGTGGGATCTTAAACGAAAAACACGGCAGTAAAGAAAATTGCATAAACAACCAAAAGAATCTTAATAATACAATCTAAATAACGTTTCATTGCTTTTTTTCTAAATGATGGATGACGCATTTTGTTAATCCTGTTTCTTCATACCGTCTTATTCTTTCTCCCCGGTTCGTATTTTGTAAGCGTTTTCATGTCCATACTTTCTTATTCTGAGGTAAAGCGATGTAATAAATAACTATTACCTCTGAGAAGAAATGTATTTTCTCGCCTTTATTTTTTGCCCTTCCTCTTAGAAATCGTTGTTATACATAATATTTATGTTATTGAGATTCTCTCCCTTTTTTTCTGACCCGCGCATAACAAATTGCTGAATTTTTAACACGCTCTTGGCATTATTGCGGTGGTCTATTGAGATGGGGTTAAAAAGATAATCGAAAACTGATTTGAAAGTATTGATTGGACGGCAGCAATCTATATTTAAGGAGTTTTTATAGTGTTTCGCTTTCGACGTTCCCTAATTTCGTTTGTCTTGTATTCCCAATTGCCCATTGTTTGATGGAAACTCAATAAATTAACTGTGAAAGGCACTCTGAGGTTAATATTATATGAAATAAGGAGAAATGTGGAAAACATATTGGTGTATTATTCGATTGTTTAATTCCGCAGTCTCGGTATTCCGTCGGATGATTATTTTTTGGGTAAGTTAGTGAAGCTGTTTTATTGAGCGTTCGCGCTTTCTAGGCATTGATTCAATATGGAAATACGACTTTTGTGTGGTAGCGCTTATTTATTCTGCCTGTCGTTAAGAAAAATCGAATTATACAGAATTCAGCGACACAAGGAGGTACATGAAACAATAATGTGATTTCAACAACCTTGTCTTGTAAAGGGCCGCAATTAAGGTGTATTCTTTTTACATTATAAGTGAGGAAATCGACTAACTTAACTAAGACAAACTGAGCTGAATTTATCTGAGTCAATCGCTCGCTAAAAAGAATATCTTTTTGGTACAAGCAAGAAAACATATCCTTAAAATGTTTGTTGATGAGTGATAATTAATTCTTTGTCTTTTTTAAATGTTAATAGTCACATCACAACTAACTGAAAATAATATACACTGCATTGAATGAATGGGTACTATAGTTTATTGACATTTTCAGAATTATAACCTCAAACTTAAAATTTCAATCCGGCTCAATTTAAAACTCTACCTAACAGCAAGCTCAGTTGGGGTAAAGGGGGAGGTAAAATGTCTTAGTTCGTCTCAGTTGTTGACAGCTAAAAAGAATAACTTTTCTCAATTAGTAACTGAGATAAGCTGAGACGCTCACTTAAAAGTGGTAAAAAGAATACAGCTTGAAACCAATACGTCTGGAACTACTAAACGTCGCTCCTTGATCTTTGAGCAAGGCGTACCATTGAAAGGTGAACCTTGGAATGTAAACATAGATTGAATGAACTGCTAAACTAAATAGTGCAATATTTGCCAAATAAAGCCCACAAAACACCAAGGTTTATATATTCTCTTGTAATTAAAAAAAATACACCCAGGTACAATACTTTTGATATATCACTCGCCTTCTAATGAAAAGGTACGTATTTTTTTTTTATACTAATGCAATTATACACAACTAGATCTCGCTAGCGGCATTGAATAGGAATTAACGCCTGAAATCTATACTTTCATGAAACGATATTTTCCAGCATTTATTCTTGTCCAAATTCATGTAAAAAAACTACCTAAAGGTCTTATATTTATTACATTCTCAGATATAGCCTCCCACTGTTCTTTTTCAACCACCCACTTATTATTTGTACCCTTTATCACTTGCTTCTGGAACAATCTGCTACTCCACAGTAGACGAAATTGTACGTTAAATTCAATGTTTGCTAACCTTTTCTTTTGTTGTAATAAATGATTTTTGCAATTTCATGACTTGATTGTACCTGTTTGTTGGGGTAGCTACAGTTTCAAAAATGAGCAAATTGTAACATGATGATACAGATTCCACATTTTTCTTTAATTTCGTGATAAATAAATAATAATAATACTCGGGCATAAAATAGAGGGAAAGGAGTGGAACGAGGAGTGGAAGTATCATTCAAATCATTGACTTCCGGACCAAGCGAAGGCCGAGTTTCATTCCAGGTACAAAACATTACAATATGATCTTAAACATGGTCTCTAAACTAAACAAGAACACGGCAATCTAGAAGGGTTAATTCCATGGACCTCAATCTAAACCATTTGAAGGCTCCTTGCGGCTAGCCAACATTTTCGCACAGAAGGATCAAGTCTGAGAAAAACCATTCAAGAAACCTACTAGTCGCTTCTATACCTCAGGGAGAATGATTCTCATTCACATACCCTGTCCGTTTCTCTGAATCGCATCAGTAGCAGGCACACCAGGGAGGCCAGAGGGTTTGCCCCATTTATTTTGGTTCGAAAACCAATCATGCTACATTTAAACCAAAAGTATCATCAATTATTGGTTAAAAGTTGATGGCAATACAAGAACAAATACAATGAATGAACTCCGACAGAAACCTCCGATCGCTCGTACAAGCCGACGAAATAGAAAAAAATGTTAACACAGACTGGTTTATTTAACACTAATTTTCAATGGGATGGCTATTCAAACGGGCAACTTTTACTCTTATTACACAAATGGATTTACTAACAAGGTCCCGTTATGCACTACAACAACCTATCTTCTTCCTTAAACGGCCAGACCATATTAACTTTTCGCAAGACTTTAACTTCTGCATCGACAAATAGAAATAATAATTAAGCGTGCAAAGAAACACACGCTCTTTAATCTGCCGTGATCCGAACAGCTTCGTCCCTTTCTTATTTTTCCTATTTAAGGTAAACCACCACCATTACTCCATCAAACTTCCGCCAATTTCAATCCATCACAAAAATAACGCGTCGCGCGTCCCCACTTACGCCAATATTAATTCCCAAAAAGAAACGTGCACCTGCCTCTTTCACCGCGATAAGGAACACGTGAGTTAATTAAATTATGTCCAATAAGATTTCTTATCGCAAAACGACCAGATATCACTGAAATGCACTCGACCAGATGATTAACAATCTGACGCGTAATTTTTACATCGCACAATATAAACAATAAAAATTAAGCAACAAAAATAACAAATTCCGTGCTTATTTCTCTAGATTTAAATTAAATTAAAGCATTGACACATACAGTGTGTCTCCTGATATCTTCGGCATTATTTCAATCTAAAAAAAGTCCAGCTGACGTTTTTATACAACAATATGAATAAGAGCTAGTTTTGCCAAACTGTGAATCTTAGTCTTTGGAGTTTTCAATCTTTCACAAGAAACTTGCGTGTAGATAAAGTTAAAAATGAGACAAAATTATTTTCGTATACTTAGTTGAAATGTTTGAATTGGGGATTATTCTTAGTAGTTTCTTTAGAAATATTTCGTACAAAAGTTTTCTTGAAAATGTCTTGTATAGAGTTTTTACAATCCTAGGAATCATTTTTCTCTTGGAGACCTTTGATATAATTTTAGTAAATTTCGTACAAACCTTAGAAGTCTTCTAATCAATTTTATTAGAAGCTATTTACAATAATCGAAAGTTTTCCTAGGAGATTTTCAATCGCCTTTAATAAATTTTTTTTTAAATTTTTTTCACTATCTTAATCCTCTAGGAATCTTTTAGAAATTCGAAATATTCTTATTTCGTTTAGGAACCCTTCTATAAATCTTCTTGAATAGTATCTCATCGTCATGGAAACGTTCATTGAAAAATCGAAATTTTCTAAAATTAAAGATAATTTTCTTACATCGATTTACCATTCGCCCCCGCTACTATTCCGACCATGCTACGGCACTTCCATGGCAATCGTGGAATTACGAATAAACAGTCCACTTAATTAGACATGTATTCGAAGGCCATTAAACTCGTTGCGCGTTCTTTAAAGACATGATTATACACTTATCTCTTACTGTACTATTTTTTTGCAATATTGATAACATGCACAATTTTGAATTATGTCGTATTTTAAAAGACATCTTTCAAAATGTGGTGGAGTAAATTCTCAATGCACTACGAAGATCGTCCCATGCTTTATACCTCGCTTTATACTTTACGTATGCAAAGTGGCATGTTGGTATCCTCTAATCGCCCCAAAAAGGGTAGGTACTTCAGTCCCAAAAATGAAAAAAAAAACTCAAAAAAATCGGCAATCGAGTGATCATGTCAAAGTGAAGAGGAAATAGTATAATTACGTATGACGCGGGACCCAACCAAGATTTCATACTGTTTTGGGCCGAACACTTGGTGTGGGGATTTTTTATGGCGATATATTTTCAGGATATTTTAATGAAAATAAGTTTTATTTTGTATTGGAATTTAACAACGGGTCTTTTTCGTACCTCAAACTATTGTGCATCAAAAAGTATGAGCAAACGCAGGCTTTCAGTCTCCTACACATGTATAATCCATTTGTGTTGCATGCCTGTCTCTCTATATGGTACGTACACTATAATGAATAGCACCAACACTTTTCTCGCTTAAACGCTTTTGCATTATAAATTTTGAACGCCGGGCAAATTTTTTTAATTAATACCTAACGGTTTCATTTCAAACAGTTGTAATTTGATTAGCGAAATAAAGACCCCCTCCTTTATTTAAATTGCGATTCTTTTTTGGTACACTCTTTGTTTCTTTGATTTGAGAAGCTGATCGCGCTCTAGTTTCTCTTTCAAAGTCCAAAACCGATATTGATTGGCGCGTTGCGGATGTTTCTGATAAATGCGTACGAGGGGGTGAAATTTTTTGTTATAGCTGTATAAATATGATTTATTTACTATTGTCAATTGCGTAATATTATCCTTATGAAGTTACTGTGTCTGTTGCAGGTTGTCGACGCTGCCACCGCAGTGGAGGGGAAGTCAGCTGGTACTGGCGTCGCGACGTTGCGATACACTAGTCGACGTTTGGCATCCCAACGCAACGTGACGCTTGTCTAAAATCATGAGGTTGCTGTGAGAATTTTAAGTGTTTTTTGGATCTGTGATGAAAACTGTTACGAAATAGTTTTTTAATCGAACTTTTGAGTGCAGTGCTTTTTGACATGATTATGTGGTAGCAGTGATTGAACATGAAGGGCTTTTTCGTTATCACCGCGTGGGCCCTTTCCGCGTGTTTTGCAGCCTGGCAGGACAATGTCAGGCCTAAGATGTACGTCCAATTAGGTAAGTCCAATCTATCATTTTTTCTAGGTACATTATGGAAAATGAGAACGTTTTCCGAATAAATTCGTTCACTATCAAGATTGTGAAATTTAAATTAATAGCCGGCGGGTTTGTTACTGCGAAGTCGCTACTCATAATTTTAATTACACGAAATCCTTCGAACGGGGTTATTTAATGATATGGGAACAAGAGTAACAATGCACCCAAAGAACCAATGGAACAAAAGATCGCTTTAGAAATGTTAGTTTTCTTGTCTAATTTATAACTCGCCCTATCAGACCTCTTTCATAAAAACGGTTCTTATTATTATCAATAAATTTAAAATATGAAAATTAATGGAAAGAAAGAATGAGAAAAGCTCGGAAAACATTTTCTTACGTAACCCTCACGTTTTATTCCTAAAAGAATCGATTTTTCTCATACGCATTCCTCGGTATTTTCGCGCTGCTCTAGTGAATTAAAAAACAATTTGTTTTTCCATCGTTAACCATTGTTGGAAGAATTCGTGAAATCTGTCGAAAATAATTTATGGCCGGTCAAATGATCAGTATGACTAATCTTTCTAAATCTGTTATTTATTGATCGAATGTACTGTCGGATTGGGAGTTTATAAATCCACGAGTTTATCGCTAATTTAAACCATATACACACAGGCCAATTTATTTTAGATGAGCAATCACTGTTTCCCGAAATTGAATTATGGTTTTAATTTCTTCTTACGACAGTGAGGTTATTCTCTTTGTGATTAAAAAATCTCATTCAATTACACTATTTAACTTTAATCGGTTTACGTTTAGCAGTCACGCATTCTTACATTTAATTTGACCACTTCAGTCTCTTTACTTTTATTATTAATTCAATTAATTAATTTTGTTACTGATTTGACTTGTTCTGTTTTTAAACGTGGTTTGGGTTGAGTCATTCTATTGATTTACTTAACTGCGTTATGGATTAAGGGGGATAAGATGTGTAAGTTATATTTAGATTGAGGGTTGTTTCGAAATATTAGAAAGATGATCGATTAGTAAAACGTAGTGATCAACCAAAACATACACAAGTTAATCACCTTGAATTTTAGTCTAGGCTGGTGCACAATTTACTTGTTCATTTACAACATTGTGTTTTACACAAAGATCTACTGGCTCTTCCAAGACGTGAGAATTTCGTGGCGTGAAATCTTCTTCGAGTGTAAAAGGCGTGACAAAACAAACAACCATAATAATTTAAAATTTAACTAACCTTGTTTATCTTAGTTAACAAGATTATTCTCTGTAAGTGCATAGGTAACAACTGACAAGGAAACTGAAAGCAGTTTTAAAATAACTGTCTTATGAATCAGGCACCAATTTATTTGATTACAAACGAAATACCTAACTGTCTTTTCCAATTTAATTATCTAAAACGAAAAAAATTAATTATTTATAGCGGTAGGAGAGGATATCATGGCTTATTTCAACAATATTTCCTGGTAGAATTTGTCGCATGTTCATTATACTAGTTAATTATAATGGTTTCGTATTTTACGATTTTTGATATGAAGTGTGGCCGTACTTAGTGGAAATTTCATTTCCCTAGAGCCAACACACCCTTGTACAACATATTACTAAATGCATCAAGCGCCGCAAGTCACGAGTTGGGTAGTGTTACAATTCATTTGAAGAGTTGAAATTTTAGAACTGCGAAAAATTTTGTTTCCGGTTAGCTACATTCCGAGTCCATGTCAAATCGCTGATAATTTTTCGCATTTTGTATGAATATTTCAGCCGAGGAAAAAATGTAACTGAAAGCCGCCCCTCAATTTGTTAATTGTACCACAGATTTAAATATACGTGATTGTACATTCTAATAAATTCTTCCATGTGAAATTAAAATGTCAAAACTGACAGTGGCAGTTTCGCATCAGGACATTAACCGACAATTTTGAACTAAGTAGTGCTCGTTTGCTACTCATTCGTTAATTTAGAAACGTGACAGGTTTCTAATTGACTTATTCGTTTTACCAGGGAAGTTATTCATGGCATAAGGGCATATTGATTTAGTATGTCTGAAAATTGCCTTTGGTGGCTTGTTGTTTATCACCACCTTCTTCCTTATTTTCAAAGGCGAATATACCCTCTTTTAGTTCAGTTTAGTACTTTGAGCCTTCAAGGTCTCCTTTGCGTTTCAGTATAAACCACCTCAATTTTCTTCAAGGAACCAATTCTACCCTTTATTCCTTTTTGTAAGGCTCGTTGGAGTCTGGCACCTTCTGGAATTTGTTCAATTTTCTCGCAGTATTTCTTCCCCCAGTCACGTTTTGCTTTTTTTATTGGTGGATCGTAATGGAGGTATGCGGAAAAGGTTTTATTAAATCGAAGACGGGTTGCTCAGAGATTCCTGGCAGTCTTCAGCCAGAGAACGGGAATGTAAGGATAGGTAAAGTTAAGGATGGGAACGGAAGGAACGGAGTTAGGGCGCTGAGAGGAATTGGTACTTCTCCAGCACCCGCCCGACGTACGTCTGAGGAAAACCCCGAGCACAAGCCCCCCTCTCGCTCCCACATCTTTCCACTGTCGGCATTACTGCCGCCAGATCTCTGCAACAAAACTTCAATAGTGGTAGTAACTTAACGCTAAGCTAAGATGCACGATCTGGGATTGATTTTGATTGGCTCAGTAATGCGTCGCTCTCCTTTCAGTTCCAGATCTCGTATTAACCCCTTGTAGGTTCAAGGTACTAGGGCTACATTAAAACGATGTTTGCTCATGTACGCACTGAGTGTGCAAATGCCACCCTACTGTGGTGCAGATTAATTTGTGCTACTTTTACCATTAATAAAATCGTAAAACTGGGCTTGCCTACTAAAATGCGGTGGTTGGCACAGTTGGTTATGGTTCCCCTGAGGACTCCTCACTTAGCACACAGTGTTTGTCACCTCTTCTGCATCCACCTTCGTCTTAGTGAGTCTGGTCCATAAGGACAATCAAAGTTTGTCCCTTAGGATCCTCCTTCCTGTTTACCACACGCCAATTGCTGGGTTGTAATTCCAGCATTTTGGAGTTCGTTCTTTTATCTTCTCCGGTTCTACTTGAGCCCCGGGGAAAATAGAAAAATGATAAATTTCAGAATCAACATATACTTGCTTAGTAAAAAGATATACAAAAACATGTTTCTTTACAATGATTGCTGAATAATTTACCGTTTTCAGAATAAGTATACGCGATCAGATAAAAAAGTTATCAGACCTAATATCATTTTTTTTAAAGAACACCCCTGTATATTTTAATCTAAACAATAGCATATTAAATTCTTTTTCAAAAAATATCACAAAAATGTACGACAGTTTTCAATCGACAAAATTAAATAAAGGCGAAAACTCAAAAAATTTTAAGAATTCGCGATTTCCAAAATTCATAATCAATATATTTGCATGAATTCAAAATAAATAAAATTGATAGTAATCAGATTGTTCAAATCAATAACAAATGTAAAAGTGACTAAAAAATTTCAGAAATTTATTCGCATTAGTTTCGCAGGTAACGATCAATTAGTTCCTTGTTAGAGACCCTGTATATCGCAGTCGTTAGTACTTTTTAGTTACCGTTAAGATAGCAATCTTAACTTATGCAACTGAATTAAAAAGCTACTGCCTGTGCAAAGACTCGAGAAAATAACAATACGACCAAGACCCATTTTTTTTGGGTTTGATACAACTAAGAAAAGAAAATTAGCAGAAACTATGCAGGGGACGAATTTCCAGGAGACGAATCTTTTGGGGCGAATCTTCCTCGGGGTACCCGGGGGCCAATTTACTGAGATGAATTTTCTGCGAATATGACTGTAATTTTAATTCACCGTGTCCGGAAAAACAGTATGCCGTAAACGTATCGAATTTGGGACGCCAACAAATCAACATTTCTCCAAAAACAATGGAGGCCATAGGATTGGGAGATTCCAAAACAGCGAGCTTTGCAAACCAACCACTGAATGCACAACAAAAATGCACGTAAACACGTTTGTGAATTCATCTTTATCGTCAAGGATTCTGCAGATGCCATAAGCAGCAACACAAATAAGACGCGTGTAAAGCGGATCTAGTAAAGCGGCAGAGCGGTGTGATCTTACGGGTCATTGGATTTGACCCATTTGTTACATGCAAGGAAGTTATCGTGTTCACGGACAGACAGACGAACACCATCGACTGCACTTTGCTCTGACGCTTAATAAATGATCATTTTTATACTAGTGTTAGCTTTCATTATCGGCGTGTATAATGCCTAGCGAAATCCAAAGATATAAATTTTGATCAAATAAACTCCTAGTTATGGTTATGTACCAATCATGAAACATAAATGTGAAAGGTATCGCGTGTCACCAACGTTAAATGTAGTGCTTTGCTATTTCAATTATAAATTTATTGTGGAGTAAATTTCAAATGGTCTCCATTAACTTTGGCTCTAATGATTTAGCCACGACTGTTAAAAGTAAAACTTTATATTTTATGTTCAACTTTCCAATTATTGCTGCTATTGATTGAAATTCTCATGCGTTCGTTACAAATTGCCAATCGAATTCCCTATATCAAACAACATAACTCCCTCTCTACCAAGTGCTAATCATACAGTCATTTGATACCTAGTGATACACATATTTGTAAAGTTCACTTTTATTATTTAGAGTTTGTTAGCTATCGCACAAAGCGAAATAAATAATTCATACACGTACTGTTAAAAAATGTATTAAACGAGGGTTTCGCATGCTACTCAAAACAGAAGGGATTTGTGTGCTTACACAATACAAAAGTTTCTCTCGCGAGTCTCGAAAACGCTGCAATCTTAATTGTCAATAATAATAGCGGAAAGAAGCCCGAAAGCCCACAAAATAATGGAGAATTAATTAAGATACTTTACGGAAGTAATAAAATTGTACACTTAATACTTCGACTTTCAAAGTAACAAGGATCTTATTAAACCGGCATTTACCGCGATTTACTATTGCGTTAAACCTTTTAGAATTTACG